TTAGTCCCTTTTTTACATTTTTTTTTTAAAAATAATTATCTGTATACCAATACACTGTACCACCCCTTTATTCAGTAAATGCTATATTTTTATTTTTTAAAAAACAATTAAAGGGTTTAATATTTTTTTCCGCTAGTTATAAAGTAACATTTTTTAAAAAATACCCCAATTGTTTTCTGACTTTTCCAGGGCTACTGTTTTTTTTTTTTTTTTAAATAAATTCTTTAAATTAAATATTTCACTACTTTTTATTTTAGCTGAAAAATTTCTCCCGGGAAGTTAAATAAACTCACATTTTTTTAAAATTTAATTTAAAAGGGTGCTACTTAGTTTCCTAAAGTGTATAAGTGAATTTAATCAATTCTATAAAAATCCATAGTTCTTTTAATTTTTTCAAAAGTTTTAGAATAATTACATAGTTTATTCCTAAGTAAAGTTTAGATTCAATAAAACTCTTATATTATTTTACTGGGAAAATCTAGTTGAAAAAATTACCTAAACTTTGTTTTAAGGTTTAGTTTCCAAATGAAAATTTTTTTACTAAAAAAATTTACCCCAAACCCCAAACGGGCAACTGTAATTACTTTTTTCCACCCGGCCCCGGGGCAAAGACATTATTCAGGTGAAAAACAAAACAAAACCATTTTTTAATACAATGCCCGGGATCCTTAGCAAACTTTTTTAAACGACCTTACGCATTACTAAATTTTCCCTTCATTCCAATAAAATCAATCATCACACTCACAGAAAACCTGGCTTTTAAAGTGAAAATTACAGATGTCTATAAAATTCCTGGTTTACAGGGCCCATACACAACTGTGAAAAACCCAGAAAGGGGGGGGGAAAGCTATATACTACTAAAATAAACTGGGAATGTATAAATTTAAATTTTTCCCCAAAAGGGGATAAACCCAGGAGAAATTTTCATACCCAAAATTTTTAAATTAAAAAAGACCTAAAAAAAACCCCTCACAGTTATAAACATCTACAGGTACCACAGTAAAAACATTTACCACTTTAGTGAAAAAATGGGAAAAACATGATTACTGATGCACCCATAAAAGAAGACCCCTTGTACAAAAGGGGTGTTTCAACATAAACCAAAACTCCCAGGGACCGGACCCAAAAACT